ATCCTTATTTTTCAGGCGCTAAGGATGACTGTCTCACGTCCTCAAACAATAGAACGGATACAATGCATAAGGAGCCACCGAAGATCAAACAATAGGACGGTGTGAGACCTCTAGTAACAAACCAGGTGGAATGCGTTTGAATAGAAAGCTCTATTTTTGCAAGCCTCGGAATACCTATAAACATAGATAAAATAAAGATAAGCATGGATGTTTAGTGAGAGTTGTCCGGAGTTTAATAATAATCCACTCTCTAGGAAAGCAGCTACCTGAAAGAGCACATTTTTAAAACGAATTAATAAAAGGTTAGAACATTCATACCCAACGTTCAATCCAGGCAACATTTTGAAGTGGCTGTGATAGAGGAAAGGGCCGTTTAAAGCTTGGGGAAATGAATACTGAAGCCAATTGTCCGAGAAAGTATACTTGTTTTCAAAGCACAGACCTTATTGTGCGAAATTGCTTTAAAAAAATAATAAAACCTTCGGCTAAAAATTCTGGGTGAAGGTATAATACCGAGAGGGGGTAACTCAGAAAATGAAAAGTGAATTTATTCAGGGTTTTTTTTTTAAATCCTTTCTGTGACATTGTATGGTGATAGAGGGGCTGTTACCTAATAAAGCAAACTTCCTTTATCCGTTGAATTAGATGATTTGGGACATTATCAGAATAGGAGGGGGGAAATGGAAAAGCCATTTTCCTTCAGTAAAGCCCTTTTTTTTAAAAAGCAGACTGTCCCGTATCCGAATTTTGCTTGTCAACCTCTCCCCCTTCCTCCCCGCCGCCCCAAAATAAGCAAACGAAAAAGAAAAAAAATCCGGCTGCATTTTTTTTTAAGAAGAGCAACTTTCGCTGAAAGTTCAAAGAATAGGAACTACGGCCATAAACAGCACCCTCCGCCTCCGAGGGGCGATCATCAAAGCGGCTTTCTTTCGAGAGATAAAATGAACGTTTATATAGTGAGAAGGGGAGATTGATTTACGAATTTAAACACGCCGTTTTTATTGGAGATCATAAATCTGTCAGGGGGAAGGTGTTCACGCTGAGAAACTCCCAAACTGCTCTCCCCAGCGAGATCCTCACTCAGAGAGGAGCATTTGAAGGAAACCGAACTCGGCAACAAGGTGTCGATACACCTATAATATAGAAATATTCCGGGTGTGTGTTTGAAAGTATTTTTATATTATACAGAGACCATCTCGCGCGTTATATTTTAATATATATATATATTTGCTCTGGCTTCCAAATAAATACATCTCAGATCGTAGTGGCAATTAGACAAGCTATTCCAGTTGGTTTGATGCAATACACTTTTGGTCCGGCTTCGGTTTCAGGACGCAGGCGAAGCGAACAAAGAGGTGCATGGGACAGAAAGGGCATGTCCCAAGGAGACAGCTTTCAGACTCATGCTGATTAAAAATATTTACATTCTTCCATCAGGAACTAGGTCGGAGGAGTAAAAACCTCCGAGCGATGACTCGAGACATCAGGTATCAGAGGGGTAGCCGTGTTAGTCTGAATCTGTAAAAAGCAACAGAGCGTCCTGTGGCACCTTTAAGACCAACAGAAGTATTGGGAGCATAAGCTATCGTGGGTAAGAACCTCACTTCTTTAAAGGTGCTTCGAGACATCAGGTGTCATATAGAGATCTAAACGGAGACTCCAAAAGACACCCGGGCTCTCTATGGCTGGGTCTCTGGCTTTAATACTGCGAGGTCGGGAGACGGCTACCAAATGTCTGACGGAGCACGTCACTCCAAAAGGAGCGGTTCATCCTTCGCCGTTTAGAATGTCTCATACCCCCGGAGTGGCTGTGTAAACGCCGTGTCAATATAAGTGTTGGTCGCTACCAGGACTAAGGGCCGTCGCGAGATCCAGGAGAAGGCCACAATTTTAAAAGGAGCGATAAACACCCTTACCGCCTGCCCTCCTGTAGCCCCCCCTCCCCTCCCAACCACCACCATCAAAAAGAAATCCTTGGCTGCAAAAGCAAATATCACACCCCTTTAGCAGATACAGACGAGCTGTGAAGGGCTTTTGAGAGTGTTGTGGGCTAGGAGCAAGGGGGGGGGGAGAGGAGACCCTTCGAAACAAAGGATTTTCTGGAAAGGAGAAGATAGCTGAGGTTTGAGGGAAAAGTGAGAGGCGTTTGGCTGGGGTAGTGTAGGGGTCCTTTTTTGAAAGCCCTCCTGAGAGGTAACAAAACAAAACAAACCCAAGTGGCCGAGCCAGCCCAAAGATCTTTCCCCTTGCACTGATCGCAAGCTTCCCGTCTCTAAAAAATCAGCTGCTCTTTGTCTGTTACACTGGAGACCCTCGGTGCTTTGAGTTGAAACCCAAAGCCAAGAAGATAAACAATGCATCGTGACCAGATTTGAATATAGAATGACTAAGACACTAAAAGCCAACCAAACCCACACACACAGAATCCGATCGTCCTGGGACGCCTTTCATCTGCATTCCCCGCGATGGCCCAGCAATGGCAACATTAAGAAACAACCATGAACACGAGTGGTTTAAAAGATTCTTTCCGGAGGTGCAAAGTTTGCCTTAGCCCTGTCCAGTTCGACGCTGGAAATGTTACACAGCACAATGTCCAGTCTTGGAAAGGTCAAGGGGTTTGAGAGGTCAGTCCTTGGCTATAATACTCAGCTAATCGGTTAGAAAACGTGTCCTCTGGGTGAACCCTATACGCGATCTGTGCTCGGCAGCTCAGAATTTTGCCTCAATTTATTTGTTTATTTTGCCTTTCAATTCAGTCTCCCCAGTAAAATGCAGAAAGTCTTGAAACGTACAGCAATCAGCCAAGCCCGGCTCACCCAAACACAGTCTATAAAGGCCAACACTTTCCACAAAACAACTCTTCTAACCAGAAACGAGAAACCCCAAAGTCTGATTTGGCTAAAGGAGTCGAACACTGTTATTCCTCAAAGGAACATCTGACACACTCAAAAAGAAATCATCTACCAGATTGATCTTGCCATAGTCACACGTGACGTTTGTACAAAGCCTTTTAACTTCGGTTTCAACGCTTCAAGAAGGCAAAATAGAACATGGAGGAATATAATTTGAAAGAGCAAAACTGCCTTGGTCACAAAAAGGCTAATTTCTTAGCTATCCGCTTTTCCTCTGTATTCCATTAGATAGAAGAGTTATCCTAGCAAAGCCAAGCTGTATAGGATTCACACCATAAAATGGAAAAATACGGGTTTTTAGCCATCCCCTTTATATGTAATCTGTTTGATATCTTTCTTTTCTCTCTCCCCCTCAGACAAAATAAAATGAGGAAACCGAGGAAAATCCCGTAAAAGATTCATGTCCCCCCCTCCAAAAAAAAACTTACTCTTGAAAAGAGGCAATAAAACGATCAAAAATGCATGTCAAGCAGTCGGTTCTTTTACCTTGTGCATTCCCACATCCTTTTTCCAACGCCCCATAGACGGTATTCATGGTTTGAGTGGATTCTTCCCAAGTGAGAGTTGTTGTTTGTTTCGTTTTGTTTTCCAAAAAAAAAAAAAAGTTTTCAACTTTATGATCCAGATTTTTTTATTGTTATTATTCCCCTTGAAGATTTTTGTAGGACTCCGGGTACTTTTTTCCCAACAGACGGTCTGCGGAGATTTGCTGTTGAATAACAATGGGGAAAGGATAAGTATTTAAAGAAAAGAAGTGATTAATGATTTTCTGTATAATTCTCGCATTTTTCTTGGCTTCTGTCTGCTTATAATGGCTGTGAACTTTTAGGTCCTATAGAAATCTTCTTTTCTCCCCCTTCAATTCTATTCATACTTTCCAGCTTTGATTTTGTTCTATAGAAGTTGCATTCCTAACAGCATATGCTTTTTAAGAACTGTTTTGGTACCCTTAAGAGCATAGCTTCTATCTGAAAATTGCATCGCCTTTACATAGGAAGCAGATCAAAGGGGGAAAAAATCAGCCATCAAAATAAATGCAGTCCCCACCACCCCTCGTCGAAATAAAAACTCTGAAGGTTTGCTCTTTTTGCCTTTAAAGGGGCAAAAGTTAATCAAATACATACACAACTCCATTTTTCCAACACAAGACGTGTAGCGGCTCTGTATCACATGACCATATAAATATTTCTTACAAACTGTTACAAAGTCAATAGAATAAAAGACGTAATGGACGATTTATTGAGGTGGGGGAGGAAGGGACAAGTTTTGAACGCAGTTTATTTGAGATAAATTGCTAAGTACCCTAAGAACACAAATAGCCATTCTACCACTTTAAATATTCCAAGCCAGGTCTTTGTTCTTAATAATGTTGTGGGGTATTTTAATCATTACTTAGAGAAATTAATAAAATCTCATAAATAAGCGAAAACCATTTTTCTTATAGGGAATGATTCAGAACATTATGATTTTCTTTGTATGGTCTAGAGGCCTCCTTCCCCCAACCCCACCCCCTTTAAAAAAAATTGTAACTTAGAACTGGAATGTTATTTCGCCCTGAACAGTATTTTCGATACTTTCTATGAGCAAGAAAATGAAAATTAATACAAGAGCTGTGGCTCACAAAAGAAGCCATTTGTCTTCTTGATTATCTATTTGCTTGTCAGGGTTTGAGCTATTGCAGTAGCCAGCTCCTTTGTAATATAAAAATACACAGAAAACCTGCAAACACCGAGAAACATCTGTGCAAAAATTATACTCATTAATGCATTAAATACCTTGGAGAAGGAGATTTTTTAAAATGAAGTAGCCTCTCCTGAGGAATATACTGCTGTTTTAATTCCTTAATACAATGTAGCGCTTTAATGACCAACACTGCTGAAACCAGTTTGTGAACATATCATGCAACCATATTAATATGTGCTTAGAATAAATAAATCACAATATGTAAGGCTGAGCAGTACTTAAGGCTGAGATACCCTATAGTCAAACATATTTTGTTTTCATTAGCGAGGTGTAATTGACAGAAATCCTTATAAAACTAACACATTTTCAATTAAAAAAACACTTATTTTTTTTAAACACACAAGGTTTATAGTCACAACGAAACTTTTATTTCTAGTCGCTTTAATTCGGCTATGTACAAGTTATCATGAATATCACAAAGAACAATAGGAGGTAATTCAAATGAACAACTGGAAGGGGGACCCAAGATCCCAAAAGTTCTTTGAAATCACATCAGCTCGGAATGTCAAGTACTATAGAACATGGAAAGGAAAAAAAATCTGTACGAAGTTCATAACCCCTTTTCCATCAAGAAAGAAGGGGATCCCCACCTTCCATTTTTTATTCATATGCTCAGTACAAAAATGGACTGAATCTTAGTGGAGAAGCAAAGAACCCTCCCTCCCCACACCGCCTTTGACGAAGGTTTAAATTCAGGTGGCATTATTTGATCATCAAGTTTCTAAACTAAATACGTTGCGCCCCCCCCTCCAGATTTTCAAGTGAGGTAATTAACCTGCTGGACTCAAAAATGGCAGGGGGTTTCTTACAGAAGTCTTCATTATGTTGGTCTCCTTCCCAACCCCCCACCCCAGATTTCACTCGGTTTGTTTTAAATTGTGCCAGTCTCTTCTTTCTCCATCTGTATGACCCTGATCATTACAATACTCAACATCTATTCTGGCCCCCCGGTCCTCATACCGCATGGAGTAGGGGTCGTTGTTGTTTGTTTGTTTTTGGTCTATAGGGCTGTGTTACAGTTGCCAGAACTGCTGTGCCCTTGGGGATCTGAATAGAAACTTTCGCTTTGTGGCTGGTAGGAAGCAAAAGAAAAGAAAAGAAAATTCAGTTTCTCTCGAAGAAACTGTGCCTCATTTATTAAAGTGAACACTGGTTGTCGAGGTAATCGCAAGCATAAGGTCCATCCTTTGTACGGGAGAGTAAACATGACAAATGGGGCAGAGTTTGGCGTGATTAAAGATGAAACAAGGATTCATCTTAGCCAAATTTGAAAACTACTATCTACAGCCTTCTTTTAATGGGAGAGAGCACAAAAGCACATCTCTGTTGTTTGTTTGTTTGTTTTGTAGCTGAGTTTCCCTCCTTTATAAATAAAGAGTATGCCCCCGTTACGCCCCTGGGAACATAAAAAAATTATCATGTGTCTCCTACACACACACACACACACACATACACACACACACACACACACGAAACAATTATAGGCCGGTGGCTGGTACATTGGCTCGGTTCTGAGAACCTCCTTGTATCTGCAGGCTTGCAGAAGCGTTGGAAGAATTAGACCTGATCTTGGTATTTGGTAATTTATTATCTTTTTTCCATTTCATCCTCCTGTTCTGGAACCATATTTTGATCTGGCGCTCGGACAGGCAAAGAGAATGGGCAATTTCTACTCTGCGCCTCCGCGTGAGATAGCGATTATAGTGGAATTCTTTCTCCAGTTCCAGGACTTGCTGCCTGGTATACGCTGTCCGGGAGCGCTTCGGTTCCCCTCCTGTGCAACTGGGGTTTACTGAACAAACACAAAGGAGGGAGTGGGGGAGAAGAGAAAAAAAGAATTACTGAGCTGCCCCTTTAAATTTTGTTAAGTGTCACACACTGTTTTGCTGGGAGACTACTCGAAGCAGAAAGATGCACCCCGATCTTCCAGAAATATACACTTAACCCATCTCCAACCCCCTCACTCCAGCCTGATTGCATGACGTACATCCAGGTCTAGATGTGTTTTAAACCTCCCTAGACATATTTTACAACATACTCTCCTTGATAACATAGATGGTGCAATTATAGTTTATATATATACACCATCTATGCTCCTTAAAATCCATAAAATCCCCTCTCCCCCATCCATACACCCTCTCTTTTCAATAACACGTCAAAAAAAAAAAGTGAGAGGAAAAATAGTAAAAGTTTACTCAACCCACCACTTAAATACAAATTACAAAAACATAAAACGTAACTTATGAAGATTCAACAGCCATCAAAAAGTAGCCTGCAAGAAATTGGAGGAGGATGGTAACAGAGACTTCAAAGGCACTTGGCCAAGTAGAGCCATAAAAATTTATGGAGGATGTAATTATACTGCTCTGCAAACAGGCGATCGTAAATCTCCACGAATGGTTATTTTACAACTGGTGCAATAGGCTTTCCACAAGACTTTGAGGTGCTAGTTAGTATAAAGCAAAAGCCACTTTAGTTCACTTACCCGTGCTTACATGGACTTTTTTCATCCAGGGATAAACTACTGGCTCTTTGCAAGAAGAATTAGATGGGCTTTGGTTCATAGAGTTTTGGCTACAGGAGGGCGGAGGAGGGCTGGGGGTGACCGACTCACAGTGGTGATTTGGCTCGGAGAGGTGGCTCTGAAGTCCGGCAGAAGGATGAACATGATCCCTGGGGGAGAGCACCGCTGGCTGGTGGCCGGAGCCCTGACAAACTGGGTAGGGCGGCTCGTTGCAGGCTGACCGTGGCTGGTACATCGCCTCATGTTGGAAAGTGGTCTCTCGCCTCTGGCTGCTGTAATATCCCGGAGAGTGATTGGGAAGGTAATCATTCTGAGAATATTCTTCGCAGGGTGGGAACTTGGGATCCACATAGTTGGAGTTGATCAAAAACGAACTCATGGCCATTAATTTCTTTGATTTGCACACACACACACACACAAAAAAAATATACTAAAATTTATTCCTATCCCCCCCTACTCGTTTTCCTGTTTCGTAAAACCCTCCTACAGACTGTCAAGTGAACAAAGTTAGGAATCCATGTGACACCGGCGGCCAATGGCGAGGTTCCCTGCGATTCCCGGATAAGGAAATATCCTCACACAGGGGCATTCTTACTCCTGTAGGATTTTTTTTTTAAACCACCAATATTTACATATTTTCAGCCAGGGTGAAATTTCGTGCTCCTGCACAATGCTACTTACCCAGATTAGCATCTCGAGTTCTAAACCCCTAATGTCACCACTTAACCCCTCGTGATAACAAATCCCCACTCCCTTCAGTAGGTGTGTCTTGGCTTAGTTGTGTGTTACAGGGGGGGGAAAGATTATTTGCAGTAATTTGGGGGGGAGGGAGGGAAATCCGCTCTGGATCAAAATGAATGCCCTGGCAGATGATACATTGAGATCCCTCTGGCTGGTGTTTAAATTTCGTTCTTAATGTAGGTGATATGAAGCGGTTTGAGTAGCGACTCTGCGCTGAGATACTGGCAGAGACAAATAGGGCTTGTTTTGGATCGATAGAAAATTCATCAGCTAATTCGGGGTACCGAGGCTCCTAAAACACATTTAGCTTCGGTATTCGATTGACCATTTTCCAGCCATGGGTGGAAGGGACAGCCCTTCCTCTGAACACGAAATAAAGGGCTTTATGGACAATTAAAGATAAAATTAACTAGTCTCAGTGCTGTTCCCTTCTCCCCCATTGTAATAAACGTGATTAAAAAAGCAACATTTGGACGGGTGTTTAAAATCGAAGCACCTAATAATCCCTTCATAAAAATCAGGAAACAGGGCAGCGTTTGGCTGGATTATTTATACCTAGTGTAATTTAAGCAATTATACAGTTTAAAGCACCAGCGTTTTTCCGCCTGCATTCAGTGACGTAATACTTCTGACACCCATTGCAGCTCAGATGTTTATTAGAACAAGGTGATGCAGTTTACCACAGGAGTACTAGAGTTGGGAGTTTAGGTAAATACCCAAATATGTCTTTTCGGTTATAAAAACGATCTTCTGGCCAAGGCTTCTTTTCATCCTTTTATTTAGTTTTATTTTTCTTCAGGGAGAATGACTGTAGTGTTTGTGTCAACTACATATTCCCCTAGATACGAATTTGTGACACAATTTCCTTTACACAAATTCGGATCTACAGGGTACATATAGAAGACAGATGCATCTTTCTTGGTCAGAAATCTTCTAACTTCACTTAACTGTAATAATTCTCTTCGATTTAATTTATTATTTTTCATACAAGAGCTTTGCTACTAAAAGAATTCATCTATGAATAAATATGGTTAAAATTTCCACTTTCCAGAGGAAAAACAAATAATGAAATTCACCCATTCGAAATACAGAGCGAGTAATGGTTCGGCTATAAAAGTAATACAGTACGTTCCTACCTATTCATTGATACACTGAACATTAGTTTAGCATTATGTTCCAAAAAATAATCCTCAACTATATCTAAAAGCATAAGTAGAGTCCCAAATTATCATTCATTTCAAATTTAAATGTAATCGTTAATTTTCACTCCAAATGTGGTCGTTTCAATATCATCCACTGATCCACAGAGACAAACATTTCAGAAATTTTTTTTTGAGTTTCTGAAGGTCATCCAAAGTTTTTTTGTTATAAAAGTAAATTACGGGGTGGGGGTGGGGAAAGAGAAACAGATGAAAATAAATACAGAATATAAAGGCAGATGGGGCGATATTCTTTTTTTTTAATGACAGGCAATTCTTTTTATAACCCGAGAAAAAGATCAAAGGAGTTTCATTTCCGAAAGTAATAAAATATTCATACTGTCTAGCTAATGAACCTTCATTCGGAACGAATGAGAATAGCATCATGTTGAGACTTCGTTTAAAATCCCAGTAGCTCCAGAGATTAAAAGTATAACACGCTCCTCCACCCCAACCCCACCAAAAAAATCAGAAGGGAGCAGCACACGTTTTTGTTTGAATATCTCCGATTTAATCATATTTTAACAGCACCCAGTCACAGACGATGCCATAAAGATGCTACATTTCCCCCTTCATTGGCTGGAAATACTGTTTTCCCCCTCCCCTCAAATCGAAATATATTTCAAATAGCACTGCTTTAAAAAAAAAAAAAACCTTGTAAGGCAGAGAATGAATGAACACCGCTTGTTTGGGACACATCATGCGTTAAGATTTTCCGGCTGCTTAAAGGTGAGTCGACTGTATCGCTCGCAATATCTACCGCCAAGGTAAGACAATTGAGAGCACTTCTCAACGAGAACTGGTAAAATCTACCCTTTGCAGGCTCCCAAGCGTCTAACACTCACAAAAAGTTTCTTGCACACCAAGCAGATCTCGGGGGTTGCTTTATAATGCCTTTCACACAAGACAAGGAGGTCCCAAGTCGGCACAAAAGCCCCCAAACCCCTCAAGTGTACCGGGGAACAGACAGTGACCCAGAAATAGACCGCCTTCTATTCAGTGTGCTATAATGAAATAAGAATTCAAATAAAATATGCTAGCACAAAGTAAAGACTGAAACTATAATAAACCAATTCTAGCAAAACAGTCCACTCCGACTACACTTTTGTATTTTGATTCCATCTGCCTCTGCGTCCTTTTGTTAATTTCCCCACAGCTGCAATACCCTAACCAACACCGGTAAATCCTATACCTTAAACATAAACAGTTAGGTAGGGCCTATTCTGGTTTGATACCCCCTCCCTTACAGCCCCCTCCCCAAAACATCCCGTTTTAATTTTCCTTTGCAATGACAAAGGGGTTTTAGCAGCACCAGCACCCCTAGTGTTTGCCAGAAATCTTTTTTTTTTCCTCCAGAAGTCTCACATAACAGCTTCAGATCCCGAATTAAAAAGAAAACGATACTGCCCTGTACTCCCCCCAGCCCCAACACACACACACACACACACACACACACACACACACACACACACACACACACACACACG